CACAGGACCAGGAAGTGTTTCGTGCTGTTGTACATCAGGTCGCTATGAGTAAGAACTGACTCGACGACACCTAACAACAACAGCAGGGCCCAACTTTCTACGTGAATGTAAACCACATCTGCTTTTTATTATTTGTTACTTGGGGCTGAATGAGCACGTGGTGATCATGAACACCTTCTGAAAGAATCTAACGTAAATCATAAAATGGTTAGAAATTCACCAAGAAAGTTGACTTGATGGCAGTGGTTTTGTTTTCTGAGGTGCCTGGTGGTCAAGCGCTCAGCTGCTACCCAAAAGGTCGGCAGTTCAAACCCACTGGCTGCTTTGCAGGAGAAAGATGAAGCAGTCTGCTTCTGTAAATATTATAACCTTGGAAAGCCTATGGGGCAGTTCTACTTTGTCCTGTTGTTGTTGTTGTTGTTTGCCGTGGAGTCGGACCCGACTCATAGGGACCCCTCCTTGGTTTCCGAGGCAGTATCACTATGGAAGTAGATTGCCCCATCTTCCTTCCGAGGAGTGGGTTTGAACCGCCAGCCTTCTGGTTAGCAGTCAAGTGCCTTAGGCACTATGCTACCAGAGCGCCCATCTGCTTTGTCCTATAGGGTCGCTATCAGTAGGAATGTACTCAATCAAAGCAGGTTTGGTTTTTTTTTTTTGGAGGTGCTGGAAGTGGTAAACAAATGAGAACATGGTTTTTCTTCAGATCCACCTTTGCCTGTGTGGCCATTTCTGGTTGAACTAGAAATCAAAGGGCAGGTTACTAATAGTTCTTAGAGTTATATACCGTCTTCCCAGACAGTTCGGAAATTGGACTGCATCTCCTCTGAGCTTCATTACACAGCTCTCAGATTCTGACCTGTCTGTGACAAACCTGCCAATGATAAAATCTACCTGGGTACTTTTATTAATACAGTAGGCTACTGTGAAATATAACAGCAATATTCTACCTTTTGTCTAGAAATCAACATCAATAGTTTTGCTATCATAAAGTATTGGAATAATTTTACTTTTTAGAAAAACTGGCATCACAGGTTCTTGATTATGTGTGTCATACCTATAATAATACCCTTCGTACATGAACATTTTTGTGGTTTACACAAAATTTCTAATTACGAAGATATATTATTCCAAATTACAGTAAACAATGAAATTAACCCAACACTTGCAACATCAATTCATCATCTGTGACTAGGATTGCTCAAGTCTCTTGTGGTCAAAAAAACAACAATGTTCACAGATCCAAACTAGAATAAATGGAAGTGAGGAAGTGAGTTCTAAAAGGAGCTTCATGAATTAAAAGATGTACAAACAAAATAAAGCACATTTGATTTTATTCCTGGTAATTAACACTGTTTCTAAGCTTTCCGGTATGGGTAGAAACTGCTAAGTGGCATATTTTTATCTTTTACAGTGATATAAATTAAAATTCTCAAAACAAACAATCAGAGCAGAAAATATGCCATGCTCTTGGGACAATTTGTGATAACTCAGGACATCTTAAAACCAAAGTTATGAATTCCTGACCCAGATATTCCTAAATGTGAAAATAAGCTAGTAGCCATGTGTGAGGGCCAAGTTGACAGCTACTAACAATACACTCATCTTATTATTTTCCATGAGTTTTATGTGTAACTTACATACATGACTTGCTTCTCCTCCCTTCTCAGGGTTAAAAAAACTATTATAAGAATTAAAATCAGCAATCTTGACTATTCAACCTAGGGATAAATTATTAGATGCTCTAGGCAGGTCCACAGCTACTATATGTACAAGGACATGAATATACACAACACTGCTCTTTCCTTTTATTAGTGTTCACTGTGGATAGCAGGCATGTTCATGCTAGACAAAAAACAAAACTGTACTTCTGAATTACCACAGGGTGGAAGACAGGCATTCCATAGCAATTTGAAGTGTTTGTTTGAATTCTTGTTAGTAGCTAATTATTCTCAACCTTAGTAGTTTGCTATCACTGGCAGGAAGATAACAATCAATTCCTATCCTGATATTGGTATTTCCCACCTCCTGCCTATGGACTTTCTGCAATACTCATCGACAAACTATGAACAGAATACAAGTAAGACATCTGTAGTACATGTGTCACAGTACTCTACTCACAAAATGGAACCCCCATACGGAATTGCTCCATTTCTTGGTAGTCACAAAGAATATTCATAAAGAATAGGACAAAATTACTACAGATTAATGTTAGTGTAAATCCTGTTGATAGCAATGATAGGGTTGTGAGCAAAAAAAAAAAAAAAAAAAAGCATCATTTGATCAATTCTGTAAAAATTACTGGCAAGGTAAGATTTAAGCCCAGTTACTACAGGGTTTTATTTCTAGCACCACCTTTCTGAAATTTAGAAGATGTAATGCGTATTTGACGTTTCACATTAACTTCCAAAAATCCAAAAACTTGTTCTTAGTTCAAGTGTGTCCAAGTTTACCTTGGAAGTTTAATATGATAGTTACAAGTAGCATGGACTGTATCAGGTAGATCTTGGGGCTAATTTCATCTAAGTGATCTTGTCACTTCACCATCTTTGTGTCTGTGGTCACACCAGTATGCATCTACCTCATAAGGTACCTATTCCATAACTTCAGCGCATTAATATCAGTGTCTGTAAAATATTTACCTCAATGATTAAGACATAGTAATAAGCACTGTAATATTCACTATTGTCACTACTGTGGGAGAAGGATATGGCGGTCTGTTTCCATAAAGATTACAGTCTTGGAAACCCTATGGGGCAGTTCTACTGTCCTTTAAGGGTCGATATGAGTCAGAATTGACTAGATGGCAGTGGGTCTGGTTATTCTGATTTACTGTCACTATTAACTTTAAAGTATAGAGGCTAAGAATAGACTCTGGGTGACCAGATAACTTAGGGTCAAATACTAGCACAGCTGGGTGATATTAGGCAAGTTACTTAACCTCTCTGAGCTGCATAAACTTTTTTTTATGCAGATCAATCAGTTAACTTATATAAAGGGCTCAGAACAGTGACCAGCACACAGTCATGCTATTTAAATGTTTGTTGCTGCTAACATGCAATTTCTGGGAAGGAAATTAAAAAAAAAAAAAAAAAGGAACAGGAATCTGCAAACAGAAAACCCAATGAATATTTTGATGCTCAAATGAAACCAACAGCAGCTACTTTTAGCATGTAATAACCAGTCCACTGCATACTGCGGCAGGCATCATCCCCCAAAGTTTAAAAGCACCTAAATGTATATAAACTTGATATTTAACTACCTCAGCAACTGAATAAAAACAACAGCCACCACCGGTTTTTGAGTACCTATTACTATGGTACCATCTAAGAGCAAGGGAGATTTAGGTTTGTGTCTGGGCACCTCATCTTCATGACTGTGTGACCGAGGTTATGTCTGTTAACCTCCCTGAGGCTCCAATAATTCCTCATATCTCAAATGGGAATAATATGAACATTACATGGTTGTCTTGAGGGCCAAATGCATGTACAGGTCTTAATATAATGATGGCTATTACTACTCCCCGTCAGGGACTGCGCAACGGTGTTTCTTCACATAAACCATCTTATAACCGTCGACAATCCCACGAGGTAGCTGTGGAAAAAAGCTGCATGGAGTTGATTTTGACTCAAGGTCCCTATGAGCGTTACAGGCGAACTGCACTCCACAGGGTTTTCAATGGCTGATTTTCCGGAAGCAGATAGCCAAGCCTTTCTTCCCAAGCACCTCTGGGTAGACTCTAACCTCTCAGTTAGAAGCCCAGCACATTACCAGTTTGCACCACCCGGGGACTGCAAGAGGTAGCTAGCACTTCATTTTTACATGAGAAAAGACCACAGAGATAAAGTAAATTGCCCAAAGCCACACGGCTAGGAAACAGCCCAAACAAGGAAGAATCCAGACCAGACTCCCCTAAAAACAGAACACTAGTCTTACAATGCCTCATATGAAACAATGCTTTCTTTCTTAACTATTTAACTTGTTCATTCAACAAATCATTCGAGAACTTTCTCTATGCCAGGCCCTGTGCTGTGTGCTGGGGTTACAGTGGTGATTCCTGCCCTTAGGAAGTTTATGTTTTAGTGGGAGAGACGATCAACAGGTAATCAGGTAATTGCTAAAATGACAATAATAAAGCAGATGGAGGAATTTAACTGGTGGGAGTAAGGTGGACTGTTAAGCATCATGGGGGGAAGCAGTTGGCTTGTTTAAGAAACAAGAGAACATCAATGAGGTTGTAGACAAGACACCAGAGGCTGATTATGGTATAAATGTCCTTGAAGGCAAGGACCACAGTCGCATCTTTTAGTTCCCTACAGCATCAACGATCACGGGATGCAGATTCCAGCATCTCTGAATTCCAGCATCTCTGAATTCCAGGCCTGACTCCGTCTGGGCTGTGGGAAAATTACCTAGGATCTTTTCACGGGTTCCTCGTGGGTAAGCTAGGTAGACACGGTTACCGCTACCAGGTCTGCTGTGAGTATTCAACGGGCAGTGCGCAGCCCCACAGTATTAAGGACTGTATTTGCCGAGCTCACTGGAAATACCAGTGCCCACATGCCTCCCGTGGCGTCGTCTTCCCTGCGCAGGCCCTCTATATGGGCACCCTAATGATTTCACCACCACGCCGCAAACCTACATCCCCCACCCCCTAAATCATTCTCAAAATGGCCCAAGGAGCCTACACCGCCCCCTCCCCCCGTCTGCAGCCCGCTTGGAAGTGGCACTTGGCAACTAAAACGCCATTTCCACCCGCTCTTCTTCCACGCAGTCCTCGATCCCAAGGTTCTCAGGATGAGGGACCCACCCCAAGCCCCACCATTCCGTCTCCCCTTCCGCCCTCGTGTGACGTAAAAGCCGCCCCGGGTTTCCCCCGGCCACCTCAGCCCGAGCCCGCACTGCGGGTCCCGCGCTCCAGGGCCCGGTCGCTGCTGCCCCCGCCACACGGCGCGGACCGCGCGGGCCTGGGCCGGGTCGGGCTGGCGGACCAAGCTGCTCACCACGACGCTGGGGCTGCGGGTCGCCATAACGGAGCCGGCGGGCACACGGGTTGAGGGCGGGCAGACCGGAGGAAGCCGGCAGACAAGAGAGGAGGAGACGGAGGCGGGGACCCAGGCGTGCGGGAGGAGACGCAGCGCGGGAAGGCCTAGGGAGCGCGCAAACGCTCGCCGTCGCCACGCGGAGCTGAGGCGCGCAGGCCCCGCCCCCTCCCCTCGTGCGCGCTCTGGCGCCTCAGCCCGCGGCTACGGGTTCCACCGCACGTGGCAGGCGGAGGCATCTACTTGAGGAAGATGCCGGAACTCCCCAACGCAGCCGCGATCCCCCTTTCCCTCAGTTTTCCATTCCGAGGGCTTCCAAACTGCCAAACCTTCCGCCCCCGGCGTTTTGTCATAGTGACCCTGAACTGGGCGCCGGTTCTGCAGGTTTCAGACCCCACATCGTTCCTCTCTCCAGGCAGCCCTTTCCTGAGACTTTGTATCATATTGCGGCTTCCATTTTCCTGACTCGTGACGCAGTTCTTACGAAACTCCTTAAGCGGTTGTGAGAGTTAAGACCCTAGAGTTAGCCAGATTAGGGTACAAATTCCCAGGGGAGGGGTGGGGGAGGGAAACATTTAACTGCTCTATGACCGTCTCCAAATTACTTAGACTCTGGGAGCCTCTTAGTAAAATGAGGGTATCAACATTAAGAAAGCTAAATTCAATTTTAAAATTCAACATTTAAGATACGTATTTTTGCGATGATACATATATACATACCTATGCGCATTTTTGCATAGCATACCAGTTGGAGGAGGACAGCACTATGGTAAAAACGATGTTCTTAGTAAATTTAAGAAATTTATGGAGCTATGAAGATCAGTCCTTAAGAAAATGCACGCTCACTGAATGGGAACTATAGCTATTACTGATCTTTATTTCTGCCCCGACAATTCCCTACATGGTACTGGAAAAAAAAAAAAATTCCCCTACTGACTCTCACTCAAACTGGTTAGGTAAACCACGGTCGAGTCCAGAAATGCCATTCCTGTTGTACGCATCTGTGTATAGCTCCAGCACCCACCACAGTGCACAGCATGTAGCTGGTGGCCTCCTCACTGAGAGATATGTGATGGTAGGAGATTTGTGAAACTAGGCAAGTCATTGGACTTCTCTGAGCCTCAGTCTCTTCATCTAAAAAATGAAAATAATAATTCCTACTCTGAGAGGTTATTATGATGATTTGTAAAATCCCATAGGGAAAACACCTAGCATAGTATTTGCCATGTAGTAGGAGGAAGTCAAGACCTGATAGCATATATATGGACCCCATACTTCCTGTTTCTCTGCCTTCCCTACCTATGGGGGAGACAGCCGGCTATAATGGAAAAAGTGCGTGTTAGCTTTGGACTGAGAAAGATCTGAGTTTAAATTCTGATTTTACCATTTACTAGCAGTATGGACTTTGCAGGAGCCTCCAGGCACCTACCTCAGTTTCTTCATATGTCAAATGGGAATAAGATTTCATTCACAGGGTCTGGTGGGGATTAAACTAAATAATATATGCAAGTGTATCTAGCCTAGTGCTCAGTTCAATAATATCAATGTGATATGGCTCATAATTTTGCCTTTGGAAGTTTTTCACTCTATATGTATCCTTCTAGCCTCTACGACTTCTCATCCCCTCCCCCGTTGATGGGCATTTGGGAAGTTTCTGGGTTTGGCTATTGCCAACAGTACTGCTATGCACCTTCACTACATGTCTTTTGATGAACATATGAGTACATTTCTACTGAGTATAAATATTGAAGTTCAAATTAGCATATTTTTATTACTTTATTTTTAACTTCTTTTAGTAAACATTAGGTTCCACCGGGAATTTAATTAGAGAACTGACATATGTGGACTCAGCCAGACACATTTGTTTCTAAATTAGGTACCCAACAAATTCAAAATCCTTCCAGCTTGCTTCTGGCGTGCAGTTCCTATCACCAACTCCTGTGGTGCCACATATTCCTGCATTTCAACAGTCAAATTGAAATAAACAGTGATAGCCCAGTGATTGTAAAGACAAAGAAATAGAACTAGTATTCAATCCTGTGATCATTGGGAGCAAACAGAGTGCAAACTGCAAGATGCAATCTTTGGTTTGGTAAGTGAAAATTTGTTCAAATGGAAAATGTTTTACTGAATTTGGACAATATATTCAAAACTGAAATTTGTTGTTAACTTTTAATTGTTTTAAACTTAAAGAAGGAGTAAAAAAATGGTTCCTACTAATCATTACATTATTGTTACTGAAAATAATTTTGTCATACAGAGGATGTTAAAAAATTACCCATTCTGGGTTTCAAATATACTAGGTATTATCCCATGAATTCTTTAAACCAAGCAATAGTTTAGCTTAATTAGTAAAGAAGGTCTGCCTTGAAGGAGCTCTGGTGGTGCAGTGGTTAAAGCATTTGGTTGCTAACCTAAAGGTCAGGGATTCGAATGCTCTGAGGGAGAAAGACGAGGAAGTCTGCTTCCATAAAGATTTATAGACTTAGAAACCATTAGGGGTAGTTCTACTCTGTCCTATAGGGTTGCTATGAGTTGAAATCAACTCGATGATAGTGAGTTTGTTTTGGTTTGGTATGGCTTGAATATTGTGCTCTTTTGGGAAAAAAAAAAAAACACTTTTTATTGTGGTTTGGGTGAAAGTTCACAGAGCAAATTAGTTTCCTGTTTGACAATTTATTAACATTTAGTTTTGTGACATTGACTGCAATCCCCACAATGGAACAGCATCTTCCTACTCCCTTCCTGTGTTCCCCTCTTCACATTTCTCCTTCTTTCCTGCTTCTTCTTGCCTTCTGAGCTTTGTTTTTGGGCAAATGCTGCCCTTTTGGTCTCTTATGGTTGATTGTATTGAGGAGTACATTCCTCCCTGGTGTTATTGTTCACATTATAGGCCGTCTATTGTTAGGGTGAAAGTTGATCTACTAGGGTGAGTTCAGTTCCAGGCTTGAAGGGTTTCTAAGGGCCATGGTCTCGAGGGTTCCACCAGTCTCTATCAGACCAGTAATCCTGGTCTTTTTTTTATGATTTTAAGTTTTGTTCCATGTTTTTCTCCCACTTTATCCAGGACCTTCTATTATGATCCCTCTCAGAGTGATCAGCAGTGGTAGCTGGGCACCATTTAGTTCCTCTGGTCTCAGGCTCATGGAAGCTGAGGTTTCTGTGGCCCATTAGTCCTTTACTCTATTTACTTGTGTCTTTGATTTTCCTCACTCTTCTTTGCTCTGAATGAGAAGAGACCAGTAGTTGCATCTTAGATGGCTGCTCACAAGCTTTTAAGGCCCAAGGCTCTACTCACCAAAGTAGGATGTAGAAGATTCTTTATGAACTATGCTATGGCAGTTGACCTAGATATCTTCCGAGACCATGGTCTTAAGTCCCCAAGCCCAGTGACTCATTCTTTCAAGGTGTTTGATTGTGGCTAAGAAGTTTTCATAACTTTGCCCCCTGTATGCTCTACTATATTCATGGATATATTGCAGCACATATAGATACATATGTAGAAATATCCTCTGTCGTGACTATATATATTTGGGGTGTGGTCCCATTCACCTTTCCAACGCCATTCAACTTGAGTGTCTATCTATTGTATCTACCCATAGATTGAAGGATTGTGTATGTAATAGTATTTACCTTTGTTGCCTTTAACTCTTGTGCACCTTCCTTTTCCTTGATCATTTTGTGTTAAAACCAAACCTCAAAACCAAACTCACTACCGTCAAGTCATTTCCAACTCATAGCAACCCCTCCTTGGGTTTCTGAGGTGGTATCTCTATGGAAGTAGATTGCCCAATCTTCCTTCCAAGCATTGGCTGGTGGGTTTGAACTGCCAGCCTTCTGGATAGCAGTCAAATGCCTTAGGCACTATGCCACCAGAGCTGCCATTTTGTCCTAACCTCCCCCCTATTGCATATTGTCTTTCCTTTCACTCAAATTGTTAGGAGCTCAAGCATAACCTTGATACCAAAACCA